TGCTGGAGACATCCTGAGTAGAAACGAGTAGAGAATCACAAAACAGGTACTGAAATGGGAAACCAGGGGATTGAAGAAGCGAGGCGGCCAAAAAGAAACACCATGATATAACTGCACAACAGTGAGTTAAGTGAAGTAAAAGTCCCTTTTCCACGCCTTTAGGCGTATTCGGAATATAGGGCTAGACCAACATTTTTATAGACCAATCGGCACTTGGTGGTTGATGTGGTCAGCATCACACCGGCCGCCTATACTTCCCAGGACTGCACCTGATACCCACTGGGTCAACCTGAGAGTCAAAGTCATTTTTTTTTCCAAAAAAGGTCAGGCTCCGTCAGGACACGAACCCACGACCTTCCGATCCGCACGGGGGCGTCTAGTCGCCAACGCCACGGCGACTCCATGCACAACAGGTCAATGATTATTATTAATATTATTATTGTTATTTTTATTGTTATTGTTAATTATTACATTGTATTTAGATACATTAAAAATTAATGAAAAGTCAACTTATTTTAGGAGTAATATTTCATATCACTATTGCTATCGATTTAACTCAGCTGAATTCACACTGGGGGGAAAGCGAAAGAAGGGGCTCCCAAAAACAACATGGAGACGAATGATGGAGCGTGACCTGAATGCGACATCTCTGACATGGAAAACTGCACTGAAGATTGTACGGGACAGGAAAGCATAAAAAGTCCTTTCTAAAGCCTCATGTGCCACTAGGCGTAAAGAGAATTAATGATGATGATGATAATTCACAATGGGTGTCGACATGTTTCAGAATGTTCTAGGATTTGCATGGGAAGGAGAGACACCAGGGTTGTTCAACCTGTAGGACAAGGGACACGTCTCAATGGGCCACCAAAACAGACTGTTTCATCGTGTAACGAGGCAGGGTAGATGGTTGTTCTATTCCAGTCTGTAGCAGCAACACCTCGAGGACTTCCTAATTGTGCGAAAAGACCTTTTCATGCATGTAAATAGAGAAAACCAAAGGAAGAAATCGAATGGATGTTAATGTAGAGCTTCGTATATCGGAAACAACTCTCCGGCCATGAATGTCAGACTGTTTAAATATCACAAGAGCAGCAGATGTCACTTTCAGCTGAAAACTGTCATTTTTTTTACACAGGGTTTGACAAATAAACTGCTGTATACGTTTCTTTTTTGTTTCTTTTTTTTTTTTTGGGGGGGGGGGGGGGGGGGGGGGGGTCATGAGGTCGTGAAACAACTGACCCTGATGTAGTGGGGGCGTGTAAACAGTTTGAAAAACACTGGTCTACACTATCTCATTATCGTACCATGGAATGAGTAAGAGAGGCGGCTGGTCGAACAGTTAAGAAAGCTGGGCTCTCACGTTGGAAACCCAGGTTGAGATTCTCGGTAAGGCCGTTGATTTTTGTTTTCTGTCGGAGGGCAAAAGTAAGATCCTAACCTGTACATCTGTGGCTACTCTGCTTGCATCGCAACAATCATTGACTCAAGCAGCGATGGTCGTTCGAACGCCAACACTTCACGTCCCATTAACGATGTCAGCTCACGTCCCTTTAACGATGTAAACTCACGTCCCTTCAACAATGTCAGCTCACGTCCCTTCAACAATGTCAGCTCACGTCCCTTTAACAATGTCAGCTCACGTCCCTTTAACAATGTCAGCTCACGTCCCTTTAACAATGTCAGCTCACGTCCCTTTAACAATGTCAGCTCACGTCCCTTTAACAATATCAGCTCACGTCCATTTAACAATGTCAGCTCACGTTCCTTTAACAATGTCAGCTCACGTCCCTTTAACAATGTCAGCTCACGTCCCTTTAACAATATCAGCTCACGTCCCTTTAACAATGCCAGCTCACGTTCCTTTAACAATGTCAGCTCACGTCCCTTTAACAATGTCAGCTCACGTCCCTTTAACGATATCAGCTCACGTCCCTTTAACAATGTCAGCTCACTTCCCTTTAACGATATCAGCTCACGTCCCTTTAACAATGTCAGCTCACGTCCCTTTAACGATATCAGCTCACGTCCCTTTAACAATGTCAGCTTACGTCCCTTTAACAATGTCAGCTCACGTCCCTTTAACAATGTCAGCTCACGTCCCTTTAACGATATCAGCTCACGTCCCTTTAACAATGTCAGCTCACGTCCCTTTAACAATGTCAGCTCACTTCCCTTTAACGATATCAGCTCACGTCCCTTTAACAATGTCTTCTCACGTCCCTTTAACAATGTCAGCTCACGTCCCTTTAACGATATCAGCTCACGTCCCTTTAACGATATCAGCTCACGTCCCTTTAACAATGTCAGCTCACGTCCCTTCAACGATATCAGCTCACGTCCCTTTAACATTGTCAGCTCACGTCCCTTTAACGATATCAGCTCACGTCCCTTTAACAATGTCAGCTCACGTCCCTTTAACGATATCAGCTCACGTCCCTTTAACAATGTCAGCTCACGTCCCTTTAACGATATCAGCTCACGTCCCTTTAACGATATCAGCTCACGTCCCTTTAACAATGTCAGCTCACGTCCCTTTAACGATATCAGCTCACGTCTCTTTAACGATATCAGCTCACGTCCCTTTAACAATGTCAGCTTACGTCCCTTTAACAATGTCAGCTCACGTCCCTTTAACAATGTCAGCTCACGTCCCTTTAACGATATCAGCTCACGTCCCTTTAACAATGTCAGCTCACGTCCCTTTAACGATATCAGCTCACGTCCCTTTAACAATGTCAGCTCACGTCCCTTAACGATATCAGCTCACGTCCCTTTAACGATATCAGCTCACGTCCCTTTAACGATATCAGCTCACGTCCCTTTAACAATGTCAGCTCACGTCCCTTTAACGATATCAGCTCACGTCCCTTTAACGATATCAGCTCACGTCCTTTTAACAATGTCAGCTCACGTCCCTTCAACGATATCAGCTCACGTCCCTTTAACATTGTCAGCTCACGTCCCTTCAACAATATCAGCTCACGCTCCTTTAATGATGTAAAATCACGCCCCTTTAATGATGTGAACTCACGTCCCTTCGGCAATGTCAGCTCACGTCCCTTTAACGATATCAGATCATAACCCTTTAAAGATATTAGCTCACGACTCTTTAACGATATCAGCTTACGACCCTTTAACGATATCAGCTCACGACACTTTAACGATATTAGCTCACGTCTCTTTATCGATATCAGCTTACGAGCCTTTAACAATATCAGCTCACGTCCCTTCAACGATATCAGCTTACGAGCCTTTAACGATATCAGCTCACGAGCCTTTAACGATATCAGCTCACGACCCTTTAACTATATTAGCTTACGACCCTTTAACGATGTCAGCTCACGTCTTTTTCACGATGTCAGCTCACGTCCCCTTAACGATGTAAACTCACGTCCCATTAACGATGTAAACTCACGTCCCCTTAACGATGTAAACTCACGTCCCTTTAACAATGTCAGCTCACGTCCCCTTAACGATATCAGCTCACGACCCATTAACAATGTCGGCTTACGACCCTTTAACAATGTCGGCTTACGACCCTTTAACAATGTCAGCTCACGTCTTTTTAACGATTTCTGCTCACATCCCTTTTACAATGTCATCTCACGTCCTTTTAACGATATCAGCTCACGTCTTTTTAACGATGTCAGCTCACGTCCCTTTAACAATTTCAGCTCACGTCCCTTTAACGATGTCAGCTCACGTCCCTTTAACGATATCAGCTCACGTCCCTTTAACGATGTCAGCTCACGTCCCTTTAACGATATCAGCTCACGTCCCTTTAACGATGTCAGCTCACGTCCCTTTAACAATGTTAGCTCACGTCCCATTAACGATGTCAGTTGACGTCCCTTTAACGATATCAGCTCACGTCCCTTTAACGATGTCAGCTCACGTCCCTTTGACGATGTCAGCTCACTTCCCTTTAACGATGTCAGCTAACGTTTCTTTTAACGATGTCAGCTCACGTTTCTTTTAACGATGTCAGCTTACGTCCCTTTAACGATGTCAACTTACGTCAATTTAACGATGTCAGCTCACCTCCCTTTAACGATGTCAGCTCACGTCCATTTAACGATGTCTGCTCACGTCCCTTTAACAATGTCAGCTCACGTCCATTTAACGATGTTAGCTCACGTTTCTTTTAACAATGTCAGCTCACGTCCATTTAACAATGTCAGCTCACGCCCCTTTAACAATGTCAGCTCACGTCCTTTTAACAATGTCAGCTCACGTCCATTTAATAATGTCAGCTCACGTCCATTTAATAATGTCAGCTCACGTCCATTTAACAATGTCAGCTCATGTCCTTTTGACAATGTCAGCTCACGTCCTTTTAACAATGTCAGCTCACGTCCCTTTAACAATGTCAGCTCACGTCCCTTTAACAATGTCAGCTCACGTCCTTTTAACAATGTCAGCTCACGTCCTTTTAACAATGTCAGCTCACGTCCTTTTAACAATGTCAGCTCACGTCCCTTTAACAATGTCAGCTCACGTCCATTTAACAATGTCAGCTCACGTCCTTTTAACAATGTCAGCTCACGTCCTTTTAACAATGTCAGCTCACGTCCCTTTAACAATGTCAGCTCACGTCCTTTTAACAATGTCAGCACACGTTCCTTTAACAATGTCAGCTCACGTCCCTTTAACAATGTCAGCTCACGTCCTTTTAACAATGTCAGCTCACGTCCCTTTAACAATGTCAGCTCACGTCCTTTTAACAATGTCAGCTCACGTTCCTTTAACAATGTCAGCTCACGTCCCTTTAACAATGTCAGCTCACGTCCCTTTAACAATGTCAGCTCACGTCCTTTTAACAATGTCAGCTCACGTTCCTTTAACAATGTCAGCTCACGTCCCTTTAACAATGTCAGCTCACGTCCCTTTTACAATGTCAGCTCACGTTCCTTTAACAATGTCAGCTCACGTCCCTTTAACAATGTCAGCTCACGTCCTTTTAACAATGTCAGCTCACGTTCCTTTAACAATGTCAGCTCACGTTCCTTTAACAATGTCAGCTCACGTCCCTTCAACAATGTCAGCTCACGTCCCTTTAACAATGTCAGCTCACGTCCCTTTAACAATGTCAGCTCACGTTCCTTTAACAATGTCAGCTCACGTTCCTTTAACAATGTCAGCTCACGTCCTTTTAAAAATGTCAGCTCACGTCCCTTTAACAATGTCAGCTCACGTTCCTTTAACAATGTCAGCTCACGTCCCTTTAACAATGTCAGCTCACGTTCCTTTAACAATGTCAGCTCACGTCCCTTTAACAATGTCAGCTCACGTCCCTTTAACAATGTCAGCTCACGTCCCTTTAACAATGTCAGCTCACGTCCCTTTAACAATGTCAGCTCACGTCCCTTTAACAATGTCAGCTCACGTTCCTTTAACAATGTCAGCTCACGTCCCTTTAACAATGTCAGCTCACGTCCCTTTAACAATGTCAGCTCACGTCCCTTTAACAATGTCAGCTCACGTCCCTTTAACAATGTCAGCTCACGTCCCTTTAACAATGTCAGCTCACGTCCCTTTAACAATGTCAGCTCACGTCCCTTTAACAATGTCAGCTCACGTCCCTTTAACAATGTCAGCTCACGTCCCTTTAACAATGTCAGCTCATGTCCCTTTAACAATGTCAGCTCACGTCCCTTTAACAATGTCAGCTCACGTCCCTTTAACAATGTCAGCTCACGTCCCTTTAACAATGTCAGCTCACGTCCCTTTAACAATGTCAGCTCACGTCCCTTTAACAATGTCAGCTCACGTCCCTTTAACAATGTCAGCTCACGTTCCTTTAACAATGTCAGCTCACGTTCCTTTAACAATGTCAGCTCACGTCCCTTCAACAATGTCAGCTCACGTCCCTTTAACAATGTCAGCTCACGTCCCTTTAACAATGTCAGCTCACGTTCCTTTAACAATGTCAGCTCACGTTCCTTTAACAATGTCAGCTCACGTCCTTTTAACAATGTCAGCTCACGTCCCTTTAACAATGTCAGCTCACGTTCCTTTAACAATGTCAGCTCACGTCCCTTTAACAATGTCAGCTCACGTTCCTTTAACAATGTCAGCTCACGTCCCTTTAACAATGTCAGCTCACGTCCCTTCAACAATGTCAGCTCACGTTCCTTTAACAATGTCAGCTCACGTCCCTTTAACAATGTCAGCTCACGTCCCTTTAACAATGTCAGCTCACGTCCCTTTAACAATGTCAGCTCACGTCCCTTTAACAATGTCAGCTCACGTCCCTTTAACAATGTCAGCTCACGTCCCTTTAACAATGTCAGCTCACGTTCCGTTCAATAGTGTCAGTTGACGTCCCTTTAACAGTGTCAGCTCACGTCCCTTCAACAATGACAGCTCACGTCCCTTTAATGATGACAGCTCACGTCCCTTTAATGATGACAGCTCACGTCCCTTTAATGATGACAGCTCACGTTCATTCTGCACTGTCAGATCACATCCTTTAGACACTCTTTGCTCTCGTTCCTTAGATATTTTCTGCACTTGTCCCTTTTGCGCTATCTGCTCTTCTTTCTTTGGCACTGTCCGCTGTTATCCCTTCAGTACTCTCTACCCTGGGCCTTTCTTAGCCTGTATATTTACGCTCATGCAATTACGACTGCTCTCCTTATCACCCCACACCTCCCTTTATCTCTGTTTGCACTCTCATAAATCTTTGTCATTGTGTCTCCTCGAGTTGTTCCTCTCTCCCTCTTTTTATCACTTCTCTCTCTCTCTCTCTCTCTCTCTCTCTCTCTCTCTCTCTCTCTCTCTCTCTCTCTCTCTCTCTATCTATCTCCCTCTCTTTCCCTCTCTCCTCTCTTCTGACATCAAAATGCCAGGGCTTTTAATATATGTCAGTGAAAATCAGTTCTTTAAATCCCACGCTATCCGCCGGAAGTTCCGCCATCACGACGCAAAAATCACTATTTACAGCAATAGCACCGATCCGACATTTTTGAAGATCTCCAGACGACTTCCTGCCTAACGTTACCAGATGCCTTTCGGTTTTCGCAGCCAAACACACACAACAACCTTCTTCCGTTTGGTCCCAGTGATTTGACCAAAAAACAATGCACAAATTGTGCAAGCGAGACGATGTATTGACTTGCAAAACAAACTAGGAGGTCATCTTGAGTCTCCATTGTCCATCTTCGTGTATAATCCGTTCATCTGTATTCCTTTCTCAGCCGATAGCATTTGATTTTCTTGTTTGAGACAGCTTCTGTGTATCTTTAATTTGATTAATTCCCCGCCTGTTTCTTGCTAAATTGTCCTTTGCGGTAAAACTGTTTACATCCTGTTGGGTTTTCATTTTCACATCTTGTCCTTCGCCTCCAGTGTGTTCTCCGCTACCTGAGCTTCAGACTGCACTTGTTGCCTCATTCAGGGAAACGGCGTGACGAAATGGTCAAGGCGTTTGCCTCACGCTTTGAAGGTTGTCAGTTCGATTCATGGACTGAGTATTTTGGTTTACGAGCAGTACCATCTTAATGTGTGGGCTCGCTGGTGGCACCATGCTAATCTGTATCTATCATGTTGGTGGTTTTCGTAGGGGCCCCAGCGCACTGGCTTGCTCAGGGGCCTATAATGCTGTTAAGACGGCTCTTTTAACGAGTGCAGTATTTACGGAGATTGCTGGAGATCATCGTACGTCGATCTATTTACGGCACGTCTAAAAGTTTCTATTTCTCTAACGAATTCTCCAGCCCTGTGTGCTTTCACAGACAATGGATCTTTAATGTCCTGTATCTACATTCGTAGACGTCGGCCTCTGCCTCTTTTTCCGGAAACTGCGCCCTTCATCACCGTTCTCTCCAGACCAGCATGGCGCTTGACATGTTAAAATACTTCAGCTTTCGGGAGAGGATGCTGTTTACGAGCCAGTTCTCCTTGATGTACTGGTCATGCAGGATGTCGACGTTTGTTTTCTTCTTGGTCCACTGTTTTCTTCTTGGTCCACTGTTTTCTTCTTGGTCCACTGTTTTCTTCTTGGTCCACTGTTTTCTTCTTGGTCCACTGTTTTCTGAGAACTTGTGTGTAGCATTTCAGTTCAAAAGCACCGATTTTCTTCTTCCAAGACCGAGAGTTTACGCCTCACATGCATAAGTTGCCATGGAAAAGATTCACGATCCCAAAATGTTTAACTTGCTTGTAGGTAGTGTACCATAGATTCTTCATGCTGTCTAATCTCTGCATTGCTAAAGCAAGTCTTTTTCTGACTTCTTTTGTACAGTGGCCATTGTTGTTCACCACTGAGTCCAAATATTCAAAATCAGTGACACTTTCAATCTTTTCTTTGTCGATTTATGTACGAGTGGTAAGATGTTGTATTCAGTGTTGACGTTATTTTAGTTTTTGTTTTTTGTTTTTGTATGTGTTATTTCAGATTCATAAATATATTTTTTTCTTCACTGTGCTTTCAAAATTGATTTTTGTAAGCCTTGTACGTTGTTGAAAAGGAGAACTGTGTGGTCTGCATATCTGAGTTCTGGGATAGGTCCTCCAATAGCTAATAGAAAGACATGCATATCAGAGTACATACTATAACGAAATAAGTAGCTACTCATTGTTATTGGCTAGAGACTGATTTACATCCCTAATGTTAGTCTAACTCCACATTTGGGCTTCAAAGACCCCTCCCACTCTCCTGTAAATGTTTTTATCCCGCCGGCCACCCACTCGAACCTCGAACGTCAACAGAACAGACCAGGTGCTCTACCTTAATCTAGGCAAGATAAATGTCCTTAACGACCTTACTTTCTCAACAGTTAACAAGTCAACGCAGGAAACGACCACCCCCAACTCCGAGCATTAGTCCTTCGCAACAACCGCTCATTGAGACAAGTTTAATGCAGCTTTCCCGAGTTCACAAGCAAACTTGCATGCTTCCCGACCAAATTTGCTCTCGCACAAGACTCGGCCAGCCCTCGGCTCCCATCTAAATATTCCAAAGCCGCTGGTAATCGTTGGACAAACATGGTCCCTAACTGGCTGAACAATAGGCCGACCTCATAATACATTTGCTGGGAGAAAACAACAGTCAGAGAGTGCTGCAGTCTGTCGGCGAAACTGCAAGCCATGCACTCAAGACGTACAGTGCACAGGTTTGCGAGTGTCTTGGCTTGGCTTACTTGGGGGGGGATATCGCTTTCTTTGACCAGCATCCCTGAAGGGGGAGCTTTTGGATATAATTGTGACTAGGTTATGTGCGCCATATAAAATATATAAATCATCCATTGCTCGCTTCCCAAACAGCCCTGAAAAAAGAGTCTTGCAGTGTTGATCCGATCACAGGGGACACATCCAGATACAACGAAGTCGTCTACGGGCCAGCCAAATAGCGACCCGGTCGCTTATAGAAGTGGCTTAGAAAATAGCAGATGATGGCATAGAATTTAATTTAAAACAAAAATATGAGAAAAATGGATAAAAATATTTTTAACAAAATGTGCAATTATTGACAGCCAGAGTGATAAAACACACATTCAAAAGCGAATAGTCAAATGTTATGTATTCCCCGTGTGGATTCTAGAGCCTCACTCTGTTGAAGGGGCGGCAGGGGCGGCGGGGGAGGGGGGGGGCAAGAATAGATTAACTGTCTTTCCGAGAAGCATGTCGTAGAAGTCGACTAATCTGGGCATCAACAGCCCAAAAAAAAAGAGCACTGAAAATGTTTGAAAGAGGCGAAAGCGCGAAGACAACTGATCATAAAAATCAGAAGAAGACAGACATCATTTGTTGGCAACGTAATAAGAAAGGGGAAAACTGGATGTGACCTCTCGAAAGATTTATGGAAAGAGAGGCAAAGGAAGCCAACTTGAGAATATTCTTGAAAGCCTTTTTTTTTTATCAGGGCATGAAGTGGATGTCAGTACATGAACTGATACATGCTATTGGAGGTCTTAGGATGTGCAAAGGTGTGATCGCCCATGTTAGTCAGCCATGCACTTGACAAGCATAATGATGAATCTCATATCAAACAACAACACAGATCAGAAGAATACTCAACATCAAATCAACACTAAGAAGACAAAAAAATCAAAGTCGACAAAAATAAAGGCAACAGTATGAATTCACTTGGCGTCTGTTTTGAGCCGCTCTCGGCACGAATAACAAATTGGTCAAATTAGTGCGATGACATTCATACAGTCCTAACTTCAGGGCAAGGAAAAGCCGCCCTGACCACGACAAAAGTGACCTGGGGTCAGCCAGAAGGACTTCTAACTATAGAAGGCAAGGCGGACACTCTTTGCACTTCAGGGACAATGGCTGGAGCCACAGACACTGGTAATCAATGGACAAAGCCTGAACTTCACCAGGCTGCACTAACAGACAAGACATCAAGGCTGCCTCTGACAAAACACAGTATTTGGAAAATAGTCGATAGTTTAAGATTTTCTGTTGAACTGGATATTTTAGGAAGTGAAATGTCGCATTTATAGACCAAGAAAAAGCATTTGACAGAGTGGATAGGAATATGTTGTGGGATTGTTTAAGAAAATATGGAATCAGCAAACTGGAGTGTGTAAGAGCTTATATACATCAAGTAAAAGATGTATGCGAACAGAAGCAGGTACATCGCAACCTTTTGACGTAAATTCAGGAGTAAGATAGGGATGTGTGCTGTCTTCACTGCTTTTTATACCATGGTAAGTTGCGTATCCTTTACAGGACTTTGCAGAACCAACCTCAACAGTCCCTGGTTTTGTGGTTTTTCTAGGTAAATTTACGTCCAGTAGTTTTCCATTGCTTTCTGGGGGGTCAGGGTCGTCTTCTCAAAACGACTGTCGAAACCAACGGCCCCCGGCATTACGAAGCGCGTTCGCAACGCCTAATCCACAGATGCCAATATACATCGACAATATATGCAAAGAAGTGCGGCGTCCGTGGCTAAGGCGTTGCGAGTCCGACTCGTAAGCCAGCATACCGCGATCGAAACCCACTGCAGGCTGCGTGGATTTGTGTCGTGGTATGGGACGTCGCAGGTCGACCCAGCCTAAAATGGGTACCAGGATGGGCTGTCCTGGGAAAGTAAAGACAGCCGGCGTAATGCTGACCACACTACCCACCGAGTGCTGATGGTCTGTAAAAATATGGGACGCTCTGCCCATATGCCTGATGCGCCGAAAGGCGTGAAAAGGGATCTTTACTTTACTTTTTTTTATATATGCAAAGAAGCAAAGAGCGAAGAGAAGGATGATATCTCAGAACTGTTATTTGCAGATGACTATGTATTGTTTGTGTATATTCAACGGATCAACAATATGGCACACTGGCGTAACCCATGAATGCTCCCTTCT